GCTAAGTGAAACAAAGGGCTACTGGAGTCCCAGGTGTTCCTCTTAAAGTGTCCGCACATGAACTTACTTGAAATCACTCACTCTGACCTCCAGTGCTGGGGCAGCAGCTTGAGAGGTGCCAGGGACACACAGGGAAGAATTAAATTGCTTGACATCAGAATGAGAGTTGAAGGGGCAGCTTTCTTCCAGGTGTGCTAGCAGAGGTCATTGTTCCCTTCCTAAGCCCTCCCCTATCCCTGGAGTTAGCAGGTAGACACCAATCTAACCAATATATCTTTATCAACCTGGCTAACACACTTTGCCCCACCCTGAGACTCCCACCCACCCAGCTTACAGGTCTATCTAACCTGTTTCCAGTGGTTTTTCCATACAAACAGCTTGTCTTGGCTCAAGCTGCCAACTTTCCTAAAACCACTCAATCAACTGGCATCTGGCTTCTGCATACAGCGTACTTCTTGCTTAGTAGCCCCAAGCCTGGCACAAGTAGCAGGCATCAGCAGGCATCTTCAGATCGCTTTGTAGCTCATGCTTCGTGACCCCAGGCAGGCCACAAGTGGCAGCTGACCTTGGCCTGCACCTCCCAGGAAGCCCCAATGCCAGCACACCTGGTAGACGGCTTCAGACCATGCCAAAGCATCACCCACCACCTCCATGAGTGACACACTCAGAGGTGGACTTAGCAGGTACCTGAGCCTCTCTTTTTTTAAAAAGTATATTTTATTTATTTTTTACAGAGAGGAAGGGAGAGGGATAGAGAGTTAGAAACATCGATGAGAGAGAAACATCGATCAGCTGCCTCCTGCACACCCCCTGTTGGAGATGTGCCCGCAACCAAGGTACATGTCCTTGACTGGAATCGAACCTGGGACCCTTCAGTCCACAGGCCAACACTCTATCCACTGAGCCAAACTGGTCAGGGCTACCTGAGTCCCTCTTAAGGGAGTTATGCTCCTTGGGGTCAGCAAATGCTTCATGGTGGTCATGGCCAGTCCTTGCAGCCAATCAGCCTGGAAAAATTCCTCCCATTGGGGTGCCAAAAGCAATCAAGGCTTGACTACAATAGGAGGGTGCACACAGCCCACATGGGGGCATACTTTGAGCACCCAACTTGGGTAACTGGGAAGGCTGTGCCACTGGGCCCTACAGGAAACCTACTATATAAGGCGATTCTACCAAGTCTGGGACATATAGCAGCTCTATCTAATACATAGGACCAAACACAGGGAGGCAGATAAAATAAGAAGATAAAGAAACATATCTCAAATGAAAGAACAGAACAAAACTCCAGAAAAAGAATTAAACAAAAAGGAGGCAAGTAATCTATTAGATGCAGAGTTTAAACTGTTGGTTAAAAGGATGCACAATGAATTTAGGGGAAGAATAGAGGACCTGAGTGAGAACTTCAACAAAGATAGGAAACACAAAGATGAATCAGTCCAAAGTAAAGAATACATTAACTGAAATAAAGAATACATTACAGGGAATCAATAGTAGAGTAGATGAAGGAGAGGGTCAAAAAAGTGGTTTGGAAGATAAGGAAGCAAAAGACATCCAATCAGGAAAAAAAAAAGGAAAAGAATTTTAAGAAATGAGGATAGTGTAATAAGCCTCTGGTACAACTTCAAGTGAACCAACATTCCCATCATGGGAGTGCCAGAGGAGAAGAGAGAAAGTAAGAAATTGAAAACCTGTGTGAAAAAAATATAATGATGAAAAATTTCCCTAACTTGGTGAAAGAGACAAACATACAAGTCCAGTTAGTGCAGAGTCCCAAACAAGATGAACCCAAAGAGATCCACACCAAGGCACATCATAACTAAAATACCAAAGGTTAGCCTTAGCCTCAGTTGATTGGAGCCACATATATGAGGCAACTGACAGCTGTTTCTCTCATATCTTTGTTTCTCTCTCTCTCTTCCCTTTTCTCTTTCTCTCTCCCTTACTCTCTCTCTAAAAACCAGTGGAAACATATCCTCAGGTGAGAATTAAAAATAAAAAAGCCAAGGTTAAAGACAAAAAGAGAATCTTAAAAGTAGCAAGAGAAAAGCAGTTACTTACAAGGGAGCTCCCATATGACTATTGGCTAATTTTTCAACAGAATCTTTGCAGGCCAGCAAGACTATCACTTATAACTAAAGAACAGATAAAGAATTTCCCAGACCAAAAACAAAAACAAAAACAAAAACAAAGCCAAAGGAGCATTATTCCTCCAAACCATATTACAACAAATGTTGAAGGAAGAGGAGGAGGAGGAGGAGGACAAGGAGAAAGAGGAGGAGGAGAAGGAGGAGGAGGAGGGAGGGAGAGGAGCAGGAGGAGGAGGAGGAGGAGGAGGAGGAGGAGAAGGAGAAGGAGAAGGAGAAGGAGAAGGAGAAGAAGAAGAAGAAGAAGAAGAAGAAGAAGAAGAAGAAGAAGAAAAATTCAAAAATATGAATAATAAAATGGCAATAAATACACATCTATCAACAATTATTTTAAAGGCAAATGGATTAAATGCTTCAGTCAAAGACATACAGTGACTGACTACATAACAAAACAAGACCCTTACATAAGCTGTATACAAAAAACTCACTTCAGCACAGACTGAAAGTTAAGGGATGGAAAAGGATTTTTCAAGAAAATGGAAATGAACCAAAAAAAAGCTGCATTAGCAGTACTCATACCAGACACAACAGACTTTTAAAAACAAATTTATCTTTATTTTTTAAAGTATTACAGATCCAGACATAATAGACTTTACAACAAAGGCTATAACAAGAGTCAATGAAGGACCCAGCAATTCTACTGAGTATTAATCCTAAGAAATCTAAAACACTAAATCAAAATTCCCTCTTCTCAACTGGCAATGGCAGAAGTAGATAGAGCCTGTTGGCCTTAGGTACATGTGTGGGTGTGAGTGTGCCACTGCTGGTGAGCTGGAGTGATGTGGCAGGGAGGGAAGCTAGGAATGCAATCTTTTCAAAACAAAATTAAATATTTTGAGACGAAATAAATAAATAATAAAATAAAACACTAAATTGAAAAGACATATGCATTCTTATGTTCATTGCAGCATTATTTACAACTAGTGGCCCGGTGCACGAAATTCGTGCTTAGAGCAGGGGTTCCCTCAACCCAGCCTGCACCGTCTCCAATTGGGGACCCCTTGGGGGATGTCCTACTGATGGCTTAGAGGAGTGGGGAGTGGGCCTAAGCTGCAGTCTGGCCTCCCTCTGTGGTGATGGGTGGGCTGATCAAAATGGTGCAGGCTGTGATGGCTGGCCCGCCCCCAATTGCACTACTCCTCTGTGGGAGGCGACCCCAGCAG